TTGCGGCCGAAATTTAAACCGCAATCGAACACACAATTTAAGGTAAAAATATTGTGAATAAACTAAAAATTTTAGGAAGAACGAAAGAAAACTTACTTATTCGCGTTGCGTCGGGGTGATGGGCTCATTTCCAACTTCCCCTTCACCATGTTTTTTCAGTTTGTCGGACGATGAGTAAAAATGAGAACGATCGGCTGCGGGTGAGAGTTGTGAAAGTTGGATAGGGTTTTGTTTGCGACACCCCGGCCCACAAGCCACATATATTTTCCTTACTATCTTATAGTTTCGAAGCTACATATTTATGACTTTTAAGTTGGTAGCATTATATTTTCTTAAGAAGTAATATCATAGTTTTTAATAGATTTTGTGATAAATTTCTCAATTATAAAAGATAATCTTTCGATGCACTGCTAAACCAAATTGAAATACAAGTGAAGACCATAATTTAGTTTTAATATTTAATTAGTGAGAATAAAATATTGACAAGATATACAATGATGAACAATATACCACTAGTGCACACAATTTGGCCTTACTAACAAGACTTGGCGGCATTTAGAGTACATTTCGCAATTATTGTCCGATAAGTATCAACAATCATTTCTTTTAATTTCCTTCGATTACTATATTTTTTTTTATAGATTTCCTACAAAAACAAGATAGTATGTATAAAACAAATTGAAAACTTTTAACATAAAAATCAAACTATTCTATTCAACAAACACACAAATATTATCAATGCAAAAAAATACAATCAAGACAGAAAATAAATGAACAAACACATTGTGATAATAGTTTGAATATTTTCAACATAAATAATAAAGAAGAATAATTATATAAATAAATATTAACATGTAGAATACAATAACTGAATAAAGAAGCAAATAATACTACAAATAAAATTAAATTAGAGAATAATACAAAATTTAAAATACACATCTTTGATAGGGAATCATGTAAGCATAATAATCGATTCAATGTGGTATAGAACTCAAGAATCGAAACTGAAAAGAATCCCGAGAGCATACCTCCGGCTATTGGTGTCAAACTCGAATGCAATATTTCTTGGTTCTTCTAAGAAGTTGCACTATTTTTCTACACGGTGTAGAAGCCTTTTTATAGTGATGCTTAGGTGACCAAAAACCTATAAAATTCATGTCTCAATTAGTTCATTTTATTAAAGAAATAACCGACATGGAGAGTAGGAGTGGGGAAAGTAGTAGAGACCTTTCACAAAGGTCACATTAACCTTTAGTAATGAAGTAGATAAGTAGTGGAGATAGTAGAGTAGTTGAGACTTTTCACATGGGTCACTACTTCACATAGACCACATAATATTAACAAATCATTGTGGGCGGGTGGGCGGACGTTGGGTTAGGCGAATGACGGCGATACAACGACGGCGGTGGTGGTTGCGGTCGAATAAACACTGTTGGGGAAGAAGAGTATCGCTCATGTTGAAGATTTTGAATGGATTTGATAATTTTGTGAATTAGTGTTTTGTATGAAGATAAAAATGGATTTTCGGAGTTAAAAGAAATATAAACATGTGTAGAGGGAGTTTTAGGGAAAGAAAATAAAATATGAGAGTTTTAGGAAAATTTTTGATAGTATAGATATTTATCTTCAATTAACACGCATATATATATATTGCAGCAGGTATTAAATTTAAGATTGAACATCATGCTGAATAGTGCACAATGTTACTATATAAAACACGTTATTTATATTAGTATAATATAAATACAATACATAAATTAACCTCACATGAAATACTTCTACATAAAACCATTTTAAATATGAACAGATAACACCCGCCAACTAAAAGTATATGCTATGTGCATTATGTATTTGTGTTATTTGGAGAAATTAACGCTAATTTCTCCAAATTGGAGCCTAAACTATTGTTGTGTAACTTTTCATGTCCCACATCGGAAGTGTGATAAAAATGTAGGGATATTGACTCCTATAAATTGACCCCCTTGGGTCCTATTTTAAAATATGAAAACAAGTCTTTCTTTAGTAACTAGAGAGAGTGAAATTCAGATTTGGTGAGTTTTTGTGACGAGGGTTTTACAATTTTTTCTGTGCAAAAATTGTAATAAATATTTTAGTAGATTATCCCATTTTGGAATCGTGGATATAGATCTGTTGTGAGAGCAAACCACGTTAAATTCTCATGTCTTGTTATTTAGTTTTCTCTCTCTTCCCTTGTGTGTTCCCAACAAGTGGTATCAGAGCGAGGTTATTTTTTAGCGAGGTCTTGGAAAAAGGAGAAGACAATAAGCAAGAGGTGTTTCGAGAGAAGTTGACGGCACGCCAGCAGTCCAGGTTGCAGTTCCGCAGCGGGCTCCGGCAACACACCAGATTTCTATCAGAAATGTCGGTTCTGCTTGATTTGAGTTCCTAATTTTATTTTTTAGCCTCTATTTATTTGGTTGTTGGAAGTGCTTGTATATTGGAGAGTTATATTAAACACTATTTTCACTACTTTGAAATATGAGGTTCCGTTCTTTGATGGAAGAATGATTTTACTATGTTGCAAAACACAATACAAAACTACTTGGTGCAGTAAGGTCTTGATGTTGCATTTGAAGATGTAAAACCAGAAGATATGAAAGAAGGTGATTGGAGTATGATCCGGAAAAAGACTGTAGGAACTATGATTGGCACTCACCCCCCGTATAAAGGTTACCGTGTTGATGGAAACATCGCCGAAGAGATTGTGGGATACTTTGGAGAGTAAATTTGCCACGAAGACGTTGACTAACCGTCTGATTATGAAGATGGATCTATATTCTTTGAAGATTGAGGAATTATGTAATATAATTGACCATACTAACAAGTTTAATGAGTTAGTATGTCGACTGTTGAATGCAGAAGAGAAAATTAAAGAAGAAAAGCAAACGCTGCTCTTGTTAGCTTCATTGCCCAAATCCTACAAGCCGTTGGTGCAGTCAATGTTGGTTGGAAAAACTACATTGAAATTAAATGAGACACTAACGATTTGGAACGAGAATGACTAGATAATGAGAAATGAAGACACTTTAAAGGAGAGTCAAATACTAGCTGTGGGGGGTTCTGAAAGATAGAGGAAAATGAAGAGTGACCGTGGTGGACGATCGAAATCTCGGCCGAGAGATTACAGCTCTATTGAGTGTCATTATTGTGGAGAGTTTGGTCATATTCAAAATCACTGTCGACTTTTTAAAGAAGACTTGAGAAGTCTGAGAAATTTAAAGGGTAAGTCGAAAGTTTAGAACTCCGCGAACATGATCAATTATGAAGGTGATTTACTTCTTTTAAATACAAATCCTATTGAGAATTCTAATTAGGTGATGAATTCTTCCGCCGATGTCCATATATGTAAACATCAAGTTTTATTTGATACATTGCATACAAATAGAGATTTTGACTATATTAATGTGAGATATAAGATGTAACAGTGAATTGAAGGCATTGGAAGAGTTCGCTTGAAGCTCCACAATGGTAATATCAAAACAATTTTTAATGTGAGGTATGTGCCTACTGTTGGAGCTAATGTTATTTTATTAGGCGAGTTGGCTTCATATGGGCATAGATATGTTGCCATTAAAAATCTATGCAATGTGTACAAGGGTGATAGTTTGATTATGCAAGGAAGGAAGAAAGAAAACAACATCTATTATCTAGATAAATGGGCCTTGTGAGCAAATGTGAAGAGCAACAATAATACGAAGAATCAGAAAATCGAGAAGAGAGTTCGTTTTTTTGACATGGTCAAAATATGTGAGACTATGGGAAGAGAGAGAATTTGTTGTGTAACTTCCAATGTCTCGTATCGAAAGTATGATAAAAAAAAATAGGGGCATTGACTCCTAGATTTGATGAGTTGTTATGACGAGGGTTTTACAATTTTATCCGTGCAAAAATTGTAATAAATATTTTAGTGGATTATCCCGTTTTGGGATCGTGGACGTAGGTTTGTTGTGAGACCGAACTACGTTAAATTTTTGTGTCTTATTATTTAGTTTTATCCCGTAAAAGTAAACCTAAAAATCACAAGAAAATTTGAAAAATAAAATTGTACTCCCTCGATCTCACTTAATTTTTTCATTCTTTCTATTTTCATTCATCCCACGCAATTTTTCATTCCTTTTTTTTTTGAAAATATAATTATATACTTTAATCACTTTTTAAAATTCATAATTTATAATTTTTTAAAATTTTATTTAAACTATATAGTCATTTTAATCTTAATTTATAATTATTTTAATTAAATCATAATTACTTGTACTAATGCATTTTTTATTTACTTACTTATTATTAAATACCAAAAACTCGGTGTGAGACAAATTAAGTGGAACGAATGAAATGAAATATTTCATTCAAAATCCACCCTAAAAATAGTCATTGTTTTTTGGATCAATTCTTGAATCAATATATTAATTTGTTGAAATTAAAGCTAAACTAAAAGTTTTATTATCAAATATTTCTTTTATAATCACTAATTTTATGTCAGATTTTAGTCGTCTATGTATTAATTTATTGATTTAAGCAAATATAAAAAAGATTGATTATCCTTTTTCTTTTTTAATCAAAAAAATTATCGTAACACTTTAACATTTTATTTTTTATTTTGATTTTGCGATCTTGGATGACATTATATGTTCGATAAATCTTCAAATATTCTTTCAATATTTCTTTCACTAGTTTTCTGTTGGTTTTTTTTTTTTTTTGTTTTTTTGTTTTTTTTTTTTTTTTTTGTGTTAGATTTTGATCGTATATATATTGATTTATTGTGGTTTTCAAATATACACTTCAACCGTTTTTATTATAACAAGATCCAATTAAATGAATTTGAAAGAATATTTCAAATCTCTACAAATCTCAATCTATCTGAACAAAGAATTTAAAATTTTGTTGAATTTCAAATCATTTTATTTTTAATCCCTTTTCAAATCCAAATCTCTCAAGACCTAAACAATCACATGCAATGATAAAGAGAGATCACATCAGCCTTGAAGAGAACCACAACCAAAACAAAATTAATACAAGTAAAAACGAAGTCTACAGCATAAAAGGAGAGCAACGTCAAATTTCGAACACCCGCAAAGTTTTTGATAGAAATAAAAATGAAAAAAAAATCCAAATGCAAATGATTAATACGAAACAACTACGATAAAATCCATCGAGAGTACATAGTGAGAAACTCTCCGAAGTCATTGAACTTGGCCCGTCTTGGGTTCACAACATCTTCTCATACTGAAACTCCTCCCACAAGCCTACATAGGTCACAATAGAATCATTAAAATCGAATATCATACGTAAATGACAAAAACAAAAACATTTAGTTTGGCTTACATCCAAACATCCAATGATAGAATGAACAAATGAAAACATCTAAAACTTATCAAACATATTATTTAATCCAATATCGCAAAACCGAAATGAAAAACAAAATGTTGAAGTTTTGGATCATGTTCTTGCCTTTGAATTCAAAGTTATATTTAAAAAAAATTAAAAAAAGCTAATACTAATCAATCTTTTTTTATATTTGATTAGATCAATCAATTATCATATATGGGACCAAAATCTAACATAAAACTAATGACAATGAAATAAATGTCGAAACATTAAAATTAATCATTGAAGAAACACACCTCTTGAAATTATTGCCGTAATTCAAGAAGTTCACCATTCCATCAAGCTCCACTCCCTGTCAGAAAAAAAGAAAAATAAAAGATTTCATAAAGTAGCTCAACATAATCTCTAAGACAATGGAGATTGATGAGTTCTAGCCGTTAGAAATGGAAGAAAGAGTGTTATATGAAACTCAAATACGCAAATTATAGGCGAAAAATAATACTCACATTTGAGCAGGCTTTCGACAAATGGAAATGCAAATGGAGCGAACCTCGCAAACCTTTCACTTAGATGATCGAGCGTAGTGAAAGTTCCTTTATCCGCATTAAAAATCACATACCATAAGGAATTATCTTCGAGCCTGACAATGAAGAACATCTCGTTTTTGTACGCCACTACAGAGTTGACCTGGCAGATGGGCTTAGGCTCGAATTCAACCCTTGATCGAAGGTGCCATGAATCGTTCACATATTTAAAAATCTCCAGATGCATAGGTTCGTCCGAATGCATAAAATTGTGAACCACATGCAGGACAGCCAGGCACCCTTCAAACTCGAATAAGAAGTTTATCGGAGACAGTCTTCCCGGCAAGCGAATTTCGATCACCTCTTCATTCTGGTTGATTGAAAGTATACAGAGAGGTACACCAGGGTTAGATAGGCAATTCACGAACCAATACAAAGATTCGTCTACATTTGCATAGCGCGGGCAGAGTTGATGCCAAGGATGACGAGAGAGAATCTCTACATAATTGGAAATCGTTCTCCATGATGTCGAACCGGATGCAAATACTTCACACTTGTAGCTAAAATTTCTGTGGCTCGAAACCCCATAGAATCGGAAGACTTTGAACTCATTGTTTCCAGTAATTAGGGCTCCAACGCATGGAAGTGCAGCTGACCGAGTCCCGAGAGGAAGTTGCAAGACATCACGAGTATAAGGATTAAATATGCGAAGATGAACCATGTTCATCTTGTGGGTATCTTCTTCGACACTGAGGAAGAGACCTTTCGATGAGCAGCTGATGTCAGATGACGGAATATTCTCGATACCAGAGATTTGAATGCTTTGGCTAATCTCTCCATTTCCTTCCATTATGTAAAGATGAGAGGCTGCTGCAGTTTCACGAGAGTACGGACATAGAACACACTTCGGGTTGTTCTTTGAGTGCTTTAGATGCAAGGTCGGAAATTCTGGCTCAGATATCAAACGTGACCAGAATTTGCAGACCGTCTTGCATTTTACAGCAGTTTTTGCAGGAAGTCGCGGGAGAATGTTGACCATAATTTCTTCAATATGGCCAATTCGAGGCACGTCGTCAATTTGCAGCCGGGAGCAATCAGGAGTCATGTCAGCCATGGTAATGAGCAAATTCTGGTGATAAAAGAGTTTTGAAGCTGCAATAAACACAATATTACGTATAAGATATCAAGGACTTGATCAGATACAACACATCGCAAATTGTCCCAATCAAATTCATACCATGCAACAATTATACCATTCATCACTAAGTATGCTAAAGAGTGATAATTGTAAAATGTAAACAAGCGAGAAAACTTAAACAAAAATGCAAGGGTTGATAATGAATGACATGTGTAAACACAACCACGATTATTAAAACGAAGATATTGTAACAAACGTTGAAAAGTATGTCCACATAACCAAGAGAATACAACATTCAGCAGCATATAAGAATGGTATTTGTTGATAAGAAACAATAGGAAAAAAGGTTTAACAAAGACTTCGAAAAAAGAATAAATCACATCAATTATTATGGCAACACGTAGTCATACTCGCACGCAGCAATTGCATGTAGCAAACACAGAAGCTCAAATTTAGAAGAATTACATAGCTGGAAGAATTGTTGAAAAAACATCTGTTTTTGGAAATGAAAAGATGAAACACTTCTCCAAAAATAAAACTAAATGTAAATAAATTATTAAATAGTTTTCAAGGACAACATAATTGAAACTTCAGTTTCAATATAACACTAGGAATGTGGAGGAAAGGTTATCCAAAATTGGAACGAATGAGTTGAATGATTTTCCATAACAGAAATCACATAGGCTTTGTGGTCTAAAGCCTGTCACCAAAAATCAACCACAAATTTTTAACTCATCGAATAAAACTTTATCCAAGTAAAGGAACAACGGAATCACTTCTTACACAACAAGTTAAAGCTCAATAAACATGTAACCATCACCGTTAATTAAATAAAACACAGATCTGAACCCAATAAAACTAATTTTTTCCATCACACATCAAATGATCCAAAAATATACTATATATACAAAAAATTAATAAAAAGATCTAGAAATTGGAAAATAAAATATTATTCATAATCTTTACATATCACAAACACACAACAATTAGTCTACCCTTGAGTAATATCCAAAAAGCGCAATAGTAAGTCCTAAAAGGCATTAGCAAAGTCGAACCCAAGAAGATCTATCATCAGATCTGCCATGGATACTAATTCCATCAAGGAAATTGAAGAGTACAAGATAAAAAGATGAAAACGTGGTTTAGATGAGTAGATCTACCGAGGAAAAGAATTTCATCACAAACTTAAATCAATACAAAAATCAATAACCAGTTAACCACATTGTTCAATGATCTAAGCAAGGGAATCACAAAGCTTACCAAGCGATGGAAGACGATCTGAGAGAGAAATGGTTGAAACCTAATCGAGCACTTCTTATTTTTCTCCGCTTTGGCGATGGTTCTTATAAATGCGTAGGGCGCCGCCTCAACCCTTCGATGACATCGATGATAGAAAGAAAAATATCAAGTAGGGCATCAAGCCCGGGGTCTTTTAGGAGACACGTGTCTAAATTGTTTGCATGCAAAGCAATTACTCCTCGACACGCTTCACATTTAAGCTATTGCTCAATTATTCAAATAATAATGTAAAATCGTGTATGATTAGTATAAATTATCAACTGTCTTGCTTTCCTCCACAATTATGAATTACGAAAAATTGTTAATAATGTTATACAATAGAAAGATATGAGTTTGTGTTAAATGCTAATGACATGCCTGAAGATTAATGAAGTCTCGATCAAATTTTGATAAGACCGCACAATTTTTTCAACTTCTACATGTCATCTATCATCAAAGTATAAGTAAGCCCACTGTACACTCTTGCGCTGCAACCTCGTGTGCCTTGGGAAATTGAAATTCCTGCTGAAGGTAGCCATTCTTCTAAGTTAGCATAAATCATTTTCTCAAAAAAAACCTTTTGCTCAACTTAAGAAAATACATAACCCCATATCTTTTTCTGTAAAAGCTTGATGCCAGTTTTTCATTCGAGCACCTTCCAAAGTGACGTAACACAATAAATTTTTTATTTAATAAAGTACAAACTTGCATCACAGGCACAATGCCTAGATCTTCGATGATTTGGTTGCCGCAACCCCACCCCCTCTTACCAGTAAAACTGAGGTGGTTATAGACAAACACCCTGCCCTTTCCTTTATAAATACCAAAGTTCGAGTTTCTATTGAGCATTTTTTAAAACTAAAAAAATCCATTGTTCCAAATAAAGTTGCTGCAAGTATGCATTCCAAAGATCCATCATCGACCAACTTATTGAAAAAAAACTACACTCTGAGGCGATGACAATGTCATCTCATGTTTTTTTCCCAAATGAGATGATCTTTTTACATATACTTATTTGAAATTTTGGAATAATTTATCAACAGTAACGGATCCTAACACTCTTTAAACTACTTATCAACAGTAACTCTTATATAAGTCTATCACATCAAAAATATATTTTTGTCAAAATATATCACATCAAATACCCTAATATTTTACTATTTCCAAAATTTTCGATAACTTCGAAATTCCAAATATTCTCTATGTAAACAGAGCATAACACTCTTTGCTCATTTTCCAATAACTAAGTCACTCAAAAATTTAAAGGGATCCAACACATTTTACATGATTCTTTCAACAACAATCCCTCCCAGTACAAGAAGGATACCATTCCCAAAACTTTCGAACATCACACTCCTTTTTATAAATGGACGACATCTGAAAATTTGAACAGAGGATTGAATGGTGATCTAACCCCAAACCTTAGGTTAAACAAGCACACTCTGTATCACATAATTTCACCAAGAATTGCCTCATTCTAAGAGACGTATACCTTCCGAAGGCCCCAGCTTCAATTCCATGTACGACCAAAAGCAACACGCAAGCTTCCAATCTTCATCCAACGAAACAACATGAAAAGAAACCATTACAAACTTTAACTAGGGAAATTGCAGCTCACGCTAAAATTCAATACTACTAAAGCATTCTTCAATTCAAATTCTTTTACAGTGTCGCTTTCTAAGCATGAGGTAAGATTGTAAACAACCAATTGTTTATCCATTCATTAAATCGCAAGCTACAAAGCAATGATTGGACAAAGACAGAAATGGCGGCAGAAACGGTTAAATTTTGAAAGAGGGAAAATCAAAGAAAAGGAAAACAAAAGTATGAGCAGAGAAGATGGAATCTCAATCACCTGAAGCAGATGAAAATTTCGTAAAACCCTCGAAGAATCCCTCGTAACTCATTGTGATTTCAACTGGCCGAAATAAGCGGTTCTGGAGAGTTTTCATATCATAATTCATAAGATAGGCATCGGGTCGGACTCGGATGATTCTTTATACATTCTGGTTGTGGTTGTTCGAGTTAGTAGTCAAATTTTGTGATTTGTTTTTGTAGTTTGTTAGGTTGCGTTTGAAATTAATTTTGTATTAAAATTAAAATTTTAATTTGAATAATATTTTGTTGTGATACTATATACTATATATATAAATTAAAAAAAAGATAAATTATATAATATTCGTATTTTATTTTTTATTTTTGGTGAAAATCTTATGTGAATACAAAATTTACAAGCAATTAATATTTAGTTCTAAATAAAATATAAAATTATGTAAGTTTTATACAAATTATTTATTGGGTGAAGCTCTTATGCGAACATAAAATTTACACGCAATGAATATTTAGTTTTAAATAAAATCTAAAATTACGTAAGTTTTATACAAATTAACAACGTAGGGTGTGTTCGGTTGGTGGACATAAAATTTATTGGGTGAAGCTCTTATGCGAACATAAAATTTACACGCAATGAATATTTAGTTTTAAATAAAATCTAAAATTACGTAAGTTTTATACAAATTAACAACGTAGGGTGTGTTCGGTTGGTGGACTCGGATTAAAACGCACTGTACAATTACCGTACAAATTTCAAAATTAAAATCCAACCCTACTAAGCTTTTACTTTTCTCGCAGAAGTGTTCGAGATTCTCTGCAATCCGTCAATCCCATCCGGCAGCAACGATTCATGCGATCAAAGATACACGCCGGTAGGTGGTACGTGAGACAATAAATCGACAACATCGGTCCTGGGCATTTCGATTGTAGATTTGCAAGGGCTTAACACTTGCGTGTCGGTGAGAAAGGGGAGTTAGCAGTGGCGACAACCGGTCGACACAGAGGTGAGTCAATCTCAACACCGTCTCGTCGATTTAGTGTGAGTTCGGGTCTATTATTCTCTGTTTTTTTAAAGTCGGCTGAAATTAGTGCAATTCAGAGATGATATTTCTTCGTATATGCCTGATTTAGGCAGGAAATGAGTGATCTATGTCTAATTTTAGGGATTATGGTGTGATTTTATTGTAGCAAGTATTACCATCAGTTACGCCGTAGTTCGAGTGTAATTTGTTAAACGGTGAAAAGAAATGGTTTTCTGAGTTCGTATCGGAACTATTCTATCGTTCTCGACTTACCTAGAAAGCTTCCCTAGAATTCGCAATGGGTGGTTCGTGGGTAGTGGTTGATTTGGTTTTCTGCCACAAGTAATAGGTCATAGCAGTTGCCTAATTGTGGAATTTCCGGCGAGAGTCGTTCGTATGTCGTTAAGACAGTCACCGTATGTACTAGGGAATATTAGGATCCTCGTTCCAATCGTATGGGATGAGGTTTGTTCAATGTTATTACCCATTGAACTGTGTGTGCTTTCGGGAATCTTAGACTCACTATTATTTTAAAGGTGTTTATGAGATTTCTTCATCGTTGGTACCCACTGCGGCCTTCGCTGTCGGTGTTTAGAAAAGAGTTATGCGCACTATTACGATTTAGGTTGAAATTGATATGAGTTTTGCTTATTTCGACATGGTAAGTGTGGGAATCAAGTTGAAATGTGTTTTTATGTTAGCTGAATTACGTGCTGCTAAGTACTTTCTTTTGAAAAGTTGATTGTACTTCGCTTGAAATTGCGTACATACGTTTTTTGCTTGTCACCCCCAACATAGATAATGGTTTCTCTACCAACGATTAATGGGTGTGGCTTGTTTTTCGTACAAATTGGTGTGATTTCATTTTAAATTGTTTACTGTGTTTGAGCACCACAGTGATAGCAATGTGATTTTCCTTGAAAATCAAATTATTTGGATTCACATTGACTTGAATTTGTGTTGTCTTTTTTGTTGGAATTAGTTTGAGGTTTTGTTCAATCAATTTCATGACTGTTAGGTCAAATTTTTCTTTCATTGTTTGTGTTCACACCCCTAAGATAAACCTGAAGCTTAGTTTTCCTTGTCCAATGAGTTCTAGGAATAGAATCAGTCGTGTTTGGTTGGATTTATATATTTGGAGGGGTTGTTGGATTGGGAGAATAATGTGAAGATCTTCGCCGGTTGGGATTTCAATTTTTAGTGCTTTATTAGTTAAGGTCCTAAATCTTTGCTTAATCCTAATGCTTGTTTAATTTAAAAATGCGAACATGCGTATTCACCATTATCTTAGTCGCTACACGTAGTTACTATTTCAGTACTGGAAATTTGCAATTGATTCATGTATATGAAGCTTTTGTGTTAGGCATGAGCACAATATTAACATGGTTTTATGATCATTTCAAAAATCAGAAATGGTTTCATTTGAATGAGAGTTGTAAGGTGGTGTATGGAGGGATTTAGGGGTATAATAATTAAGATATACATGCCGCGAGAGAATGCCGTCATGGCATAACCTATTCCCATAAGAACATTGAAAGCCTAGTAGTAAAGTTTGTGCATACCCTTTAACGCCTATAGGGTGCAAACTGGAGGGTGAAGTTCCGGACACGCATAGTTCAACTGGGAGCTGCGACCCCCCTCCGAAATGCGGGATAAAATGCAAGGTTAGTGTGCATTCGTTTATAAATTACATAAGAGTCAGTTCGTACGATGGAGCATTATACGAACCTTGAATAGAAGAATGATTGGTACTTTTGATCTTCTGGTAAGACAATGCCACGCGGAAGGCGCGTAGCGGAGGACCCTCCCACACCGCAGGCTAGTTAGTCGTTGCCACAAGAGGAGTGTTTCCTTCACCTTGTGTGGTTGCAATGGCAGCTTGAGGAGTATCAGGGAACAAGCTTCGCAAAACTGGTGTGGAAAGAAATCACGACAAAGTTCAATTCGGAGATGAATGTCCAGTATAGAGTAGACCAACTCCAGACAAAACTAAAGCGAATGAAGAAGACGTACTTGGAACTCCAAGAGTTGGTGGTGACGACAACAGGACTTGGATGGGATCCAGACTTGCGGTTGATATATCGTTTACACGCTTTTGAATCAATCGTATTACTATCCCTTTAAGTTACAGTTTGTCGTTGCCCTAGTTTAACCATACTCTCTTAGGCTCATAAAGACTACATATCGCTCTTAACGAAACTGTTCGCGCGCTTGGACTATTGTCACGATATGTTTGGTCGAAGCGGAGAGGGGGTACGCAGACCATTATCTTCCGGGTGGGATAGTGCAATGAATGAACCGGGTAGCCAACCAAGTGTTGAACTGAATACAGATAACGGAACTACGGGCACACAAGGGGGGTTCAACGGGACGACCAGTACAGGCATGGGGACGGGCCACACTAGACCCTCTAAGGCTGGACCAAGTGTTAGAAGGGTTCGACGGAGGCGAGCCTCAAGTCAGGCGGACGAGGTACGTGCTATGGTTCGTGACGAACTGACCAAAATATTCAGCCATAGTACTTCAGAAAAGAAAACAGAGAAAGCTAAAAATAAGGAGGATGTGGCACAGGTGACTGACGCCCTCCGTGCCGTGCCTGGTATAAGCGCCAACGTCAGGAAAAGGGCCAACGAGATGTTTACTTTTCCAGAGTACCACGACTATTGGTTGTCGTTAGATGAAGATGATCGGATTCAATGGATCCACGAGTTTGTTAGTGCGGACTGATTTGAGAATGCAACACCGACAATGTTATGTAGTACGTAGTTACGTCGCAGGAGGTTAAGTTGAATATGTGTTGTTGAATTGTATAGGTCTTATCCTTAAGTACCTGTAACTTACAATTTCGTCATTTAACAGTTTTCACATCACCTAGGGGGAGAGCTGGATTGTTATTATGTACTCGTTCGGAGTGGTTGTCGACCCAGTCGGCCTGTAACATAGACTTTAGTTTATGAAATGTTTATTTATATATGTTAACATAATGCCATGTTATCGAAAGAGTGGTTGCGTCGCCATTAAAACGCCATGCAATGTAGTTTTAATTGTATTTCCGTAAAATGCAGACAACACATGGTGAGTCCTAATCAATCAACCAACTCGACGCGCAATCTTCTCCGTCAAGCGCTTCATTTGAGAGAAAAAAAAAACGGGAGGAGGAGAAGAGGGTCATTTTGCTTTATGCAATGTCAACTACTACCGTTGTGGCGTTAGCCTCAAGTAGAAGGATGCATCGTTGCTATGACTCGAAGCTCGAAGGGGAAGAATTCATCCACGAGCTGATGCATGGGCACCCCGCTAGGATTAAAAATTTATTACGGGTATCATCTGACACGTTTCAAGATCTTTGTGCCACATTGGTGGAAAAGGGACTTTTGAAATGCTATTCAAGGCAGCGAGTAAAAGTTCATGAGCGCGTAGCAATATTTTTACACACAGTAGCTCATTCGAAAATTGCAACTTTCCACTGCAGAATGTTTCTAACACTCGACATCGACCATTTGTGACCACATTGACGAGGTGGCCAAAGCGCTTGTGCGCCTAGCACCTCATGTCATCCGGCCTGGGGACATGTCGTCCCCTGCGAGGAAGATTCATGAATCCCTGATTTTCTGTCCGTACTTCTAGGTAATTTTCTTTACTTGCATCCCTACTTGCTTGCTCCATCTTCCTGTTCTATGATGTCGTCTCTTTTCATTAAGATTGCGTGGGCGCAATGGATGAAACATTGGTGCACGCAAGCCTACCTTATAGGGATCAACGACTTTTCCGCGGGAAAAAAGGTGACACGATGCAAAATTTTCTTGCCATTTGTGATTTTTACATGAATTTCACGTACGTGCTCGCTTTCTTGGAAGGGAGCGCACATGATGCTTGCATCTTAAGGGTCGCTATCCGAGAGTAAGGAGATTTCCCCTTCCCGCCGGATTGTAGTATCTGCCAAACTTCCATCGTGACTTCGCAGTTTAGCGTTTACGATCACCTCATATTCTCTTTTTATAATGTAGGGAAGGACTACATCCGGGGACTCTGGGTACATGAACGCTCCTCAGTGCCTTACACCCTACCGCACATATCGCTATCATCTATCGGACTTTTAGGGAAACAACCCACGTCCTCGAGGTAAGGAGGAGTACTTC